ATCCTCGGTGGTGCCAAGGAGGCGTGGGGAGTTGGGGGGGGGGTCTCTGGGAAGAACCTTCTCTCTTCCACCCCCCCTGCAGTCACACGTGCAGCTTTGACTTCTTTCTTTCTTTATTATTTTTTTATAAATCCCAGGAGAGGAGCCTTTTCCCAAACTCTCTTCCTCTTTCTTTTTCCCCCCGCTCGTGTTTTCGTTTCGACTACGAAAGTTCCACGTTCAAAACCCTTCGAATCCTAATTCTTCCCAAGTGCAGTCGGTGCCTGGAGCTGGTTCAGCCCAGGGTCCCCACGTCCCATCCCCCTCCTCTCCTCAAATCCTCACCAAGGGGGGATGGGGGGGCTGGGAGGGCTTGTAGGGGGGGTGATTTTTCTTTGCTATCAAATCTCAAGAACGAAAGTCCCATCGCAATTTGGCTTCTCGCTCCTCCAAGAGGAGACAAAAAATGCACTTAACACACAAGCTCTTCTACTCATTTTTCTTCTTGGCTTTTTGTGGGTTTTCCTATTTTTTTTTCCTTTTTTTCTTTAACACTTCTAGGGGAGACAAAAAAACAACCCAACGACCCAAACCGAAAAGGTTCACAACAACCTTTTCTCTTCCAAAGCTGGGAGACTCGACGCCACCTGATTGCATCTCTGGAGAGGTGTTAGGAACAACAACAAAAAAAAGACCAACCAACCAACCAAACTCTTGGCGTTGGGAGAGGAGGGGGAGGAAAAAAAAAAAAAGAATCATAGAGATCACCCATGATCCTGGTGTGGCCATGGTCACTGTTCCAAGGTCACCACTTCCACAGCCTGCCCGTCCATGGTGACAGCACTGTCCGCTATCCTGGTGGTCACGGGTGCCATGGCCACCTGCACGGGGCCATTGCCCTGGGCCAGGCTGGTCACCACGGTCTGGTACATGCTGACAGGGATCTGGACGAGACCTGTGGGGGTAAGGGAGAGAAAATGAGGGTGGGATTGGGGAAGGGGGATGGAGAGGAGTGAGGTGGGTGGGAGGGGTGAGGTTGCGTTGCTGCCGCGCCGGGCATGAGGCTGTGGGTACTCAGGGTGTTTCCACCTGGAGTGTTGTGCCCTGCTCGGTGTTCCTTGGTACAAGAAGGACGTGGAGATGATGGAGAGAGTCCTGAGGAGGCCACGGAGATGATGGGAGGGCTGAGGGAGGGATACATTTGGCTTCTCCTCCCTGTGACTTTTCCATCTCCTGTCACTCCCGACGTTACTCCGAGGCCTTCCCAATTTTTGCAGCCCGTGAGAAGGATCCCACTGCTGTGCAGAGACCATCCCCTCCTGCCCGTGACTCCCAGCACAGCCACTGACCCCTCCCAAACACCAGTCACTTCCTCCAGCTCCCTCTCCATCCCAACTGGGTCCTTCTGCCTTTGCACCAAGATGGGTGACGGGGACCAGGGGGTCCCGTGGTGGCTCCAGACACTCACAGATAAACACAACACGTGGCACAGATAAAGGAGGGCAAAGCAAGTTTCTCAGCCCTTCCCTAATCATGGATGGGTCCAGCAAAGTAAAGAATCATGGAATAGTTTTGGTTGGGTAAGACATTTAAGGTCATCCAGTCCAACAGTTAACCCAACTCTACCAAGGCCACCCCTGCCCCATGTCCCTCAGCACCATCTCCAGGGCTTGGAAACCCCTCTAGGGATGGGGACTCCCCCCCTGCCCTGGGCAGCCTGGGCCAGGCCCTGACAACCCTTGCCAGGCAGGAATTGTTCCCCAGATCCAACCTCAACCTCCCCTGGCACAACTTGAGGCCGTTCCCTCTTGTCCTGTCCCTTGTTCCTGGGGAGCAGAGCCCGACCCCCCTGGCTCCAACCTCCTCTCAGGCACAAAAACCCAACAAGAGACTTTCCAGCAGGAACCATCATTTTCCCACGGGTGGCTCAGCTACTGGCAGGGATCAGATGCCCCCGAGCTGGAGCTGGCAAAGCTCTGAGCATGTTTATGGCCATGCAGGAGAGCAGCTCTGTGCCACATGTGGTGAGTCCAGGTTAGCTAGAGGACACCAACCAATGTGGCAGCAAAAGACCAAGGTTCCTGTGATGTGAAAAGCTGGAAAGAGGGGAAAAACCAGCAGGGAGCAGTGGTACTGCTGGAGACAGCTGGGCAGGGTGAAGGGGAATGGCAAATCCCCCAGGCTGGATGGGGCTTGGAGCAAGCTGGTCTAGTGGGAGGTGTCCCTGTCCATGCAGGGGGGTTAGGACCAGATGATCTTTGAAGTCCCTTCCAACCCAAACGAGTCTGGGGTTCTATGAAACCCTGCAGGTTGGCAAGATAAATGTCATCTTTCTAGTCCAACATTACCTGCCTGTGCCCACCAGTGCCTTGAGCCTGGCAAGGAGGGATTTAGAGCAGCCTGTGAATGCTACCTTGGACATGACATCTCTGAAAGGTTCCACATCTCTGGGGGAAGCTTTTTGAGGCGGAGAAATCCCTCCAGGCAGCAGCACAGGGGGGTCAGCCCCTGGGCTGGCATTCCAAGGGTTGAAGGCAGCAGGTTCCTGACCCCAGGCTTTCCCCAAAAAGCAGCCCAATCCCTTTTGATTCAGGGTTGTGTGGCAGGGAGCAGAGCTCTGTCCTGCCAAGGACACTGCTTTAATAACAGGAGGTGGCAGAGCAGGGCTGGGTGTCCTCAGATAACCCCCTGTGCAGACAGGAAAGCTTACGAGTTAATCGCTGACCAGGTGGGTGACCCTGGTGCTTTGCAGGCCTCAACATCCCTCCTTTTGGGATCTCAAAGGTCTCCATGGGTAGGGAAGCTCTGTGATCCCCCCCCAGCCAAAGGGCTGCCCCACACCAGGAGGGTTATGGCCACCTTTGGCCAGTCCATGGTCCAACCCAGGAATGGTTTTGCTGGTGCGATGGTTCAACACGGTGGAGTCAGGAGAAGGAACAAAGCTCCCAGAGGGGTGTCTAATGGAGGAGTTTTAGGGGAGGAAATGCTGACATGGGAGCTCACACTCAGCCCTCTGGAAGAAAAATCTCCTATCAGCCCCTGCAAGGACGTGTGGCACATCCCAGGTGAACCAGCAGCAGGCACAGACCTGGAGATCTGGCCTGGGATGCACCCAAAATCCCGGCTCCGAACCAACAGCCCAACTAAGCTCTTTGGGTCACTGGGGTTGCTAACCCAAAAGACACTGCTGGAGGTCCCAAACATCAGTCTCCTACCCATGGCCAGCCCAAAGATTGAGACCCACTGTCCTCATGGATCACAGAGCACATTATGTTAAATACCTGAACATGCCTTGGCGAGGGTAGGGCCACTGCCAGAAACAGCTGCCTCCAAAAGATGGTTGAGATGTGAAGACCCAACTGGGGTCACTGCCTATGGCCAACCCAAAGTCCCCACTGTCCTCATGGACCACAGAACACACAAGGTTAAAAACCTGATCCCTCTGTGCTGTTCAAACATGGCTTGCCCAGGGTAGCACCACTGCCAATAGATGGGTGCTACCAAAAGGTGGTGAGACATGAAGACCCAACTGGGGTCACTGCCCGTGGCCAACACAAAGTCCCCACTGTCCTCATGGACCATAGAACACACAAAGTTAAAAATCTGATCCCTCTGTGCTGTTCAAACATGGCTTGCCCAGGGTAGCACTGCTGTCCAAGATGGGTTCTACCAAAAGGTGGTGAGACATGAAGACCCAACTGGGGTCACTGCCCGTGGTGAACCCAAAGTCCCCACTGTCCTCATGGATCAGAGCACACAAGGTGAAAACCCTGATCCCTCTGTGCTGTTCAAACAGGGTAGCACCACTGTCAATAGATGGGTGCTACCAAAAGGTGGTGAGACATGAAGATCCTGCTGGGGTTTTCTTTGGAGAGGATGAATTTCCACCACCCAAGGTTCATCCCCATCTTGGAGGCCACGGGTGAGCAGGGAAACCTCCGTGAGAGCTGGGAACAAGCAGCTCCCTTTCTGCTTGGGATTAAACTAAATCGCCTCAGCATCTGACGTAGAGACCTCCCTGCCAGGGGTGGGAAGGGACCAGAGGAGGAGAGGGCTGGAGAGGCTGCTCTGCATTAGAGCAGAGATGATCGTCCTTGGGAGAGAGACGATTAAACCACTGAGAGACTGTAATCAGGTCTGGGATTGGCCCCGTGCTGCATCTGCTCAGACCTGTGCCCTGATTAGCCCTAATCTAGCTGGCATATGGGAAGCTGGGGCCTGGATTTTGGACCCTTTCAAGTGTATTAAAAGCAGGAAATCCACCAGACACACAGAAACCCAACCCAACATCTCGGGTCTTCGCAAAGGAGATGAATCAGGCACCCAGGAGATCACGGCCCCGGGCTCCTGGGCAGATGGGAGGGTGAAGCTGGGATGTGGGTTTGTGTCCCCTTTGGGAAGCTGCCCAAAATCTCCCTCTGGAGGAGGTGGTTGGGGGGAAAAAAGAAGTTGGATGGGGCTTGGAGCAAGGTGGTCTAGTGGGAGGTGTCCCTGCCTGTGCAGGGGGGTTGGAACTGGATGGTCTTTAAGGTCACCTCCACCCCAAACCCATGGTGGGTGAAGCACAAAGACCAAGCAGCTCCATCCCCCTGTGAATCACCTCCTGGCCACCAACCTCACTGACCTGCCAGCACCTCCTGTCCTCAGCAGGGATGAGAAGCCAGCTTCAGCTGGTTGGGGGCAAGGACAATGTTGGGGCAGAGCCAGGACCAAGGTCCTGCCTCTCACTGACCTGCAACATGGCAGGGGAAAGATTCTTTTGGGTGGAGGATCAGCTGGCTTCCAGCTAAGCAACAACCATCAGGAGAAAGAAAAGGACCTTGGCTGAGGTCCCCATCCTCTTGGGGATCCACTGGCACCAGAAACACAGAGCACCAAGGAGAGAAAGCAGATCCAAAGCAAGAGATGCCCCAGCTGGAGAGTCCTGCTCTGTTCTCTTGGACATCCAGAAGGTGTGAAGCGGTGAAAGTTGCTGGGTTTCTCATTTGCTTTGAAGATCTGCAAGCCCTGCAGAGTCAGGGGACCACCCAGAGGGGCCTTACAAGCCTCTCAGACCCTGCTAGAGCTCTGAAAGCTTCAAAGTGTTCACAGCAATGGTAAAGAAGGCTAAAGAGAGGGACATTTTCCACTGGGCTTCCTTGGCCGTTGATCTCCAACTCATCCAGAGGACTTTGCTTCCTTCCATCTTCTCAGCTTTTCCAAGGGGAAACGAGCACAGACTTTGCTTGGCACAATCCTGCTGTAGCATTTCTTCTTCCCCTCCTTCTGGAGGCACAGGGCTCAGCCATCCAACTGGGGAAGGCACTGCAGGGCCTCAGCACATGGGTCAGCAGGTACCATCTCCTTCCAACCCTTCGTTCAGCAGTGACTTCTGAAGACATGGTGGAAGAATTCACATGGACAGCTCAAAATGCCCAGTGTGCAGATGTTAAGGCACAAAAAAAACATCACTAGGAGACCTCTGAACAGCAAAACGTTTGCACAATGAAAGCCTTGACCTCCAGACCTTGGATAGCCTGGAAATACACCAAGACTGATGGAGATAAGTAGGGAAAAACTTGATCTACCTTCTCCACAGGGTGACAGAATAAGATACAAGCTTGAAGAGCAGCGTGGGAAGTTGGACTAGATATTAGAGTGGGGGCAAAAAAAAAGAAAAACAACAGGCAAAATTTAAGGTTAGTGAAGCTGTGAAACAAAAACTCCAACACTGAAGGTCTTTTGGAACCAGCTAAGGCTGGTGGTGGCTCTGGCAAGGGGCTGGTGTCATGATCATCAAGTTCTTTTCAACCCGGTGTGGGAACGAGATTGTGGAGGCTCCATTTCAAGTAAATGGCCTCAAGTTGCACCAGGAGAGGTTGAGGTTGGATCTTGGGAACAAATCCTTCCTGGAAAGGGTTGTCAGGGCCTGGCCCAGGCTGCCCAGGGCAGGGGGGGGAGTCCCCATCCCTGGGG